TGGATAATAGTACCAACCGTCTAGAGAGGGAATAAAAGAGTTGGAGAAGGAGATAGTCTCTTAGGGGTCAATAAATAACATCCATTTGCCTGCCTAAGTTCAGAACCAATGGGATGTAAATGCAAGGGTCAGGCAGAAGGACACCAAAACATGACCTTTTTGATTATGTTGATAGTTACTGTGATTCCAGATGTGATATGCTACCAAGTGGGCTCACTGATGCTTTACCCCTTGTTAAACAGATTTGCCTACCTGGTTTCAGGCGCAGCTGGAGAACAGAAAACAAACTCTTCCTGTTTTTTGGTTTCAGACTTTGAACAGGCCGATTTCACAAGGAAGAATTCAGAAGGCATAGAGCAACACTGTTCCAGGTTCTTTTTTTTGTTTTGTTTTGTTTTTTTGTTTTTTTTTTTTTAAATTTTTATTTATTTCTAGGAGAGAGAAAGATAGATAGCGTGAACAGGGGAGGGTCAGAGAGAGAGGGAGACACAGACTCTGAAACAGGCTCCAGGCTCTGAGCTGGCAGTCAGCACAGAGTCCGATGCGGGGCTTGAACCCACGAACCGCGAGATCATGACCTAAGCGAAAGTCGCACGCTTAACCGACTAAGCCACCCAGGCGCCCCTGTTCCAGGTTCCTTTGTCTGTTCCCAGCCAGAAGTCAGCCCAGAGTATTCCTCTAGCAGAAAAGGCCCCTTATAGGAGCATTTAGTTTGGGAGGTAGGCAAAATAGGGAGAGGCTTGTGAAAAAAAATACAAAATTCAGTTATAAGATGAATAAGGTCTGAGGATCTAACATGTAACATGGTGACTACAGTTGAAAACACTGTATTGTATTGTATAATTGAAATTTGCTGAGAGTAGAAAAATGTTCTCATTTTCCCTAATCCATCATATTATATACTTTAAGTATCCTACAGGTTTGTCAGTTTTACCTCAGTAAAACTGAGGGGGAAAATAGGGAGTGTGTCAACTATACTCAAACATTTTTTTAAAAAAGGAATGAGCCTTCCTCCATTAACATTTCTGGAAGTGTATATTATTGACAAAAGAACTTTTTTTGTTTACAAATGATTTGCTTCACATGTTTTCTATGTATTACAAATGATTTGAATTTTTCTTAAGTACTTCTTCTAGGTAAATAAATTATCTTTTCCCCCCCTTTGTCTGGAATAGATGAGAATATCCTAATGCTGCACCCACCCTATTAGTTTGTCTGCCTCCGTTGCAGCAGTGACACTTCAGGCTGTGGAAGAAGTGAGCCCACTCAGGACAGCAGGAGCTACCCTCACTGCAGCCACATCACTCCCCTTCAAATATTTCCCATCTCTAAAGCAGGGAAGCCAAGATGTCCCTTATTCTAAGGAAAAGAGAAAATGAGAAGGGGACTAACTTTACATCATATGCTCTAAGTAAGACAGAAGGTGACGAGGAAAAGTTTGAAGATGCCTATGAAATGATCCCTGTGGCCACAACAATGAATCTAACATCTTCCCTGGAGGAGTGCACAACTGGATTGTATTTATTTCTAAATAACAGATTCTCTGATGCCATAGATCTCATTCACCCATGGTCGAAAAACAGCATATACCATGCTCTAATCTATAACATCCTTATGGTGGTCAAGGCCATTTTGACGTTCGAGCCACAGGATATAGAGACTGGAATGACCACTGCAAAGGAGGCTCTGAAAACCTGTAACAATTTCCGAAGAAAGTTTAGGATGATGAATTTTTCTCATCTCGTGAAGAAACAGGGAATAAAGGCTATCAAAGAAGAGGAATTGCATGCTGAAGTCTGCTACGCGGAGTGTTTGATTCTGAAATCCACTGTAACATTTATACAAGATGAAAGTATGCTTGGTTTTCTTAAAAGTGCAATCAACATTGGGTTAAGTTATCAAATATACAAAGACTGTCAACAGGTATTAACACAGATGCCTCACAGCCACAGCAAAACCTACAGACACCTGGTTGAAGGAGTAAAATTTGGACTTGGAGCATTCAATCTGCTGTTATCACTTGTGCCACCAAAGACACTTAAATTACTCAATATTGTTGGATATTCTGGTGATAGAGAGGTAGGCTTGACTTTGCTTTATGAGAGTGCTTCCAAATCCCATATAAATAATATCTTAAGTGCTTTGACTCTAGTCTTTTATTATAGTTACATCTATGTAGCTATTGGTGTTGAAAAGGGTCACAATTCTGCTGTAGAGGATCTCTTCCTAATCTACCTCCAGAAATTTCCAAACTGTGTCATACTTAAATTTTTTCAGGCACGTTTTAGTATGCTGAAAGGAAATTTTGAAAATGCACAGTTAGTATTAGCGGAGTGCATTCTTATTCAAAATGAATGGAAGCAGGTTCATCACCTCTGCTACTGGGAACTCATGTGGTGCCACATCTTTCTGCGGAATTGGAAGAAGGCTTACCGCTATGCTGACCTCCTGTCTCATTACAGCAGGTGGTCTAAGGCAATATACATGTACAGTAAAGCCATGCTACTCACCTTGCTTCCTTCCCAACCTGTGAAATCGGTGAGTGAGGACATAAGCTCTCTCTTCTTAAAAGTGGATGGCCTGAGAATCAAAATTTTAGGAACTTCTGTGCCAATAGAAAAGTTCGTTGCTGAGAAGGGGCAGCGCTACGGCACCACTACAGGCTGGTTTACAGCACAGCCCATTCTGGAATTCATTTACGCCTGGAGTGGTTTCCGAGTCATGAGCAAAAAGCTAGACCTTATTTCAAGCTGGCTATCGATAATTGATAAAGGACAAGATCTCTTGCGAGAAAATCCAAATACCGAGTATGGCACAGATGACCTAAGTTTGTTAAATTTGCTGAAAGGTCTGTGCCTGAAACACTTAGGCAGATATTCAACGGCTGAGCATTACTTTAATTCTGTCATCCAGAAGGAGAAATTGTTAAAATATGACCATTATCTGGTGCCGTATACTTACTACGAACTAGGAATTCTACACTATCTAAAAGGAGATTATGACAGGGCAACAAAAAACCTAGACAACATAAAAAACTACAAAGACTATTCCATGGAAGCTCGATTACAGTTTAGGGCTCACATAGCCCTTGAACAAATAGCTAAAGAAAAGTGATGGTTTTGACACAAAGCGTGGTTTTGTTTATCATGTGTGAAGTAGCCACAATCAGCAAGAAAATTAACAGGTAGAAACATCATTTCTTTGTGGAAGAAATCCAGAAAGAGACAGCTGCTAAAAATCTGATCAGCAGCAAGCAGGAAAGGGATTGGCCATTACTTTTCCCTCTTTCCTTCTCCATACCTATAAAATGCAATGTCTTAGACTGGCAAATGGAGTGATGCCCATTCTTGAAAAAGAAAATGCAAAGGATGCACAGTTGATCATTGAACAACATGGGGATTATGGGCACTGACCACGGGCAGTCAAAAATCTACATACAACTTTTGACATCCCCAAAACTTAACCACTGAAAGCTTACTGTTCACCCAAAGCCCTGCCAATAACATAAACAGTCAATTAACATATACTTCGTATGTTGTATGTATTACATAGTGTGTCCTTACAGTAAAGTAAGCTGGAGAAAAGAAAAGGTTATTGAGGAAAGCATAAGGCAGAGAAAATACGTTTACAGGGCTGTACCATATCAACAAACAAAAAATCCACGTGTAAGTAAACCTGCACAGTTCAAACCCATGTTGTTCAAGGGTCAGCTGTACATCATAAAGTAAATCCTCTCTAGGGGCGCCTGGGTGGCTCAGTCAGTCAAGCATCTGACTTTGGGTCAGGTCATGATCTCAAGGTTCAGGAGTTTGAGCCCCACATGGGTCTCTGTGATGACAGCTCAGAGCCTGAAGCCTCCTTCAGATTCTGTGTCTCCCCTTTACTCTGCCCCTACCCTGCTCGTGCTCTGTCTCTTAATAATAAATAAATGTTAAATTAAAAAAAATAAAGTAAACCCTCTCATATGTTATGAATTTTTCAATTAGGTTGGATAACATTTTCAAAAACTCAAAAAATATTTTTTACCCTCTCACTAGATAACTTGCCAATAAAATTTACAAAAAGTAGCTACACCAGGAATCCCAGTGCCCTATGCATGTTTTTACAGTCAAAAGAAAGAAAATAAAACCCTTTAACATCTTACTGACATTTCAAAACCATGATGCACTGAACAGCATAGACTCTGACTGGTTTTCCCTTTTACACAGTAATTTTTAAAAATGTTTATTTATTTTGAGAGAGCATGCATGAGCAGGGAGTAGCAGAGGGAGGGAGAGGGAGAGGGAAGGGGGGTAGAGAGAGAGAGAGAGAATCCCAAGCAGACTCTGTGCTGTCAGCACGGAGCCTGACGTGGGGCTCAATACCAGGAACCAGGATATCATGACCTGAGCTGAAATCAAGAGTAAGCTACTTAACTGATCGAGCTATCCAGGCTCCACTTACACTGTAATTTGTATTGGCTTTTTGTTGCAGAGAAGATATTTTCCTCTCTGTGATCAGTAGTCTGTTTTACCTTTTTCCCTAGGAAGCTCAAATATGGGTCTGTAATTTGCCATAGAGTAGAGAAGAAAAAGCTGCCCCCCTTACACACACACACAGACTCTTTGAAGATAATTGGAGGAGGAGGGGAGGGAAGATAGATACTCTGGGTAGGAAAAAAGAAAAGTGGGGGGTGCCTGGGTGGCTTAGTCGGTTAAGCGTCCGACTTTCGCTTAGGTCATGATCTTGCGGTTCGTGGATTCGAGCCCTGCGTCGGGCTCTGTGCTGACTGCCAGCTTGGAGCCTGGAGCCTGTTTCAGAGTCTGTGTCTCCCTCTCTCTCTGACCCTCCCCTGCTCATGCTGTCTCTCTCTCTCTCCTAGAAACGTTAAAAAAAAAAAAAAGGAAAAAAGAAAAGGATACGCCTATGGAGGATAACTTCAGTTACTGTCCGACCCTCCCTTAGTTACCCTCCCTGAGGTCCACGGAGCTACAACTTAATTAAACGCTTGTGTCTATCTTGTTGCTATTGTTAGTGGGCTAATCTGAAAATATATAGCAGCTGTAGGCATGGGGCTCGGTATTGCTTTACCTGCCTTGAGGATAGACCATTCAATTTCCAGACCATTAAATCTGGCTGTGTGTATCCTCCCTTGGAAAGTCACCCTTGGAAACAGACCTTGCTGGGAAAGTCTGGTTTGCTAAAACACATGAGTAAAACACATTATTTTAATGCTTTGGGCATCCCAAGCAATCATCTGGAACACAATGAGGAGCTAGTATTTCAGATTTTAAAATGCTTACTTTGAAAAGCACATTCCTGGGATGCCTGGGTGGCTTAGCCTTTAGGTGTCTGACTTTGGCTCAGGTCATGATCTCATGGTTCATGAGTTCAAGCCCCATATTGGGCTCTGTGCTGATAGCTAGATTAGAGCCTGAAGCCTGTTTCAGATTCTGTATCTCCCTCTCTCTCTGATCCTCCCCTGATCTCTCTCTCTCTTGCGTTCTCTCTCAGAAATAAATAAAACATAAAAAAGCACATTCCTCATTAACTAAAAATAGACTTTTAGATGTAAACTGTGCTGGGGCACCTGGGTGCCTTAGTCAGTTAAACTTCCGACTTTGGCTCAGGTCATGATCTCATGGTCTGTGGGTTCAAGCCCTGCATTGGACTCTGTGCTGACAGCTCAGAGCCTGGAACCTGCTTCAGATTCTGTGTCTCCCTCTCTCTCTCTGCCTTTCTCCCACTCATGCTCTGTCTCTCTCCATCTGTCAAAAATGAATAAACATTAAAAGAAAATGTAGATGGGACACCTGGGTGACTCAGTGGGTTAAGCATCCAACTTTGGCTCAGGTCATGATCTTATGGTTCAAGAATTGAAGCCCCGCATTGAGCTGTGTGCTGACAGCTCAGGGCCTGGAGCCTCCTTCGGATTCCGTGTCTCCCTCTCTCTGTTCCTCCCCTGCTGGCACTCTGTCTCTCTCTCTCAAAAATAAATAAAGATTAAAATAACATTTAAAAAATTTAGATGTACAACTGTGCTTAAGTTATCCCCCATTATTTAGTTAGTATGGTATAGTGGTTAAGAGGACAGGCTCTGGTCTGAGTGCCTGGATTTGTATCCTTGCTCTGTCACTAGCTAGCCACATGGTCTTGGGCCTCTGTGCCTTAGTGTCCTTTGGAAGGATAATAGTTACTATTTCATGTTTTTTTTGTGTTCATTAAGATTGAGTTAATACATGTAATAATAAACATGTATTACTACTACCAGTAGTAAGAATAATGATACATTGTTCCTTAGTGCAGAGGATTTAAGTTACTTTCTTAGAAAAAGCAAGGGTCCCTTTGTTACCTGCTTTGCCAATGAAAAATTTGACCTGTTAATTTGCTTTCTCTGTTCTTGGTCACTTAGGAAATAAGTAACTCTCTGCCTAAATCATGGTCTTGTGTTTTGTACCAACTTCTTCCAATGAATAGCAAATTTATTAATTGGTTAAATAAATATGTATTGAATGCCTACTATTTTCTTTAATGTTTATTTTTGAGAGAGACAGAGTGAGAGTGGGTGAGGGTCAGAGAGAGAGGGAGACAATCCAAAGCAGGCTCCAGGCTCTGAGCTGTCCACACAGAGCCTGACATGGGGCTCAAACTCACAAACCAAGAGATCATGATCTGAGCTGAAGTTGGATGTTTAACTGGCTGAGATACCCAGGCATCCCAAAGCTTTCTCCTTTTTAAGTTTATTTATTTTGAGAGAGAGAGTGGGGGATGGGCAGAGAGAGGCAGAGACAGAATCCTAAGCAGGCTCCACGATGTCAGCACAGAGCCTGTGCAGGGCTTGAACCCACGAACCCTTTGATCATGACCTGAGCCATGATCAAGTCAGATGCTCAACTGACTGAGCCACCTGGTGCCCCTAAAACACATTTAAATAAAATGTTTATTTGTTTTCCCAGAGAAATACCCACGTTGCTGAAGATCTTTATTATTTTTTTAATGTTTATTTTGAGAGAGACAGACAGAACATGGGCGGGGGAGGGGCAGAGAAAGAAGAAGACACAGAATTCAAAGCAGGCTCCAGGCTCCGAGCTGTCAGCACAGAGCTGACAGGGGGCTCAAACCCATGAACCATGAGATCATGACCGGAGCTGAAGTTGGATGCTTAACCAACTTAGCCACCCAGATGCCCCTCAAGATCTTTATTTTCTAATAAAGCTTTGAGTTTCAGTATCAGGATTATCTTCTGTGTATAATGTAGGACTCACACAAATTAGAAGTGTTCTCTGTCTCAGTTATGGCCTACCATTTTAAAAAAAATATAGTTATTTTTTTAAATTTACATCTAAGTTAGTTAGCATATAGTGCAATAATGATAATGATATCAAGGGTAGATTCTGGTGATTCATCCCCTATATATAACTCCCAGTGCTCATCCCATCCACCGTCCTCCTTAATGCCCCTTGCCCATTTAGCCCATCCCCCCACCCACTCCCACCAGCAACCCTGTTTGTTCTCTATATTTAAGAGTCTCTTATGTTTTGTCACCCTCCCTGTTTTTATATTATTTTTGCTTCCCTTCCCTTATGTTCATCTATTTTGTATCTTAAATTCCACATATGAGTGAAATCATATGATATTTGTTTTTCTCTAATTTTGCTTAGCATAATACACTCTAGTTCCATCCATGTTGTTGCAGATGGCAAGATTTCATTCTTTTTGATTGCCCAAAGCTTTCTCCATCTTAGGTGGCTTTGCCTTTTTATTTCAGAAGGGACAGCCTTCTGGGGGATTTCGATGTATATCTCACTGGCCAGAAATATTCATATGGCCATCTATCTGCAAGGGAAGCTGAAGATTGAGTTTTAGCTTTCTTTTAAAAAATTTTTAAAAGTATTTTTATTCATTTTTTGAGAGAGAGAGACAGAGCATGAGCAGGGGAGGGGCAGAGAGAGAGACACACACAGAATCAGAAGCAGGCTCCAGGCTCTGAACTGTCAGCAAAGAGCCCAATGTGGGGCTCAAACCCACAAACTATAAGATCATGACCTGGGCTGAAGTCGGGCACTTAACTGACGGAGCCACCCAGATGCCCTGAGTTTTAGCTTTCAAGCCTTATTAGGAGGTTGTGGGAAAGGACTATTAAATGAAGCAACCTACAGTAACTGCCACAACACATATGTAAATAACAATAAGCTACAAAAATGGTATTAGAAGGGCATGGTTGAGAAGGAGGCAAGGTAATGAGACCAAGGAATCACCTAGAGAAGACTGGATGGGAATCCAACAGGAAATCTTGGAATTGGCATTTACTTGGTAAAGTTGCTACCCACAGCCCAACTTTCTGGCGCTTAAGTGATCCAAGAGTTGACTTAGACACATCCTAGGCTGATTCTTACCATAAGAGATTAAGGTATAATTTACTCTGCTAATTTATTTATTTATAGTAGGGACTATTCCAGAGTTGCAAACTCAATTTCCTGTGGGATTAGGCAGCTGATGTAAACAATATAGAGCAGCCAAGCAAAAGCAATAAAAGTGGTAGA